GAGAGAGAGAGAGAGAGAGAGAGAGAGAGAGAGAGAGAGAGAGAGAGAGACAATTGAACGCCGGCAAGTTGGTAGTCGGCGATCGTTCTTTCAAAAAAGGCTAGGCCAATGGCCCATCACAGCTGCTCAGCTCTCGTGATAGAAACGCCCATTGTTAACGTACCGGCGACGCGCTCCGACGCGTCGTACGCGTGCATGGCAAGACCATAAGAATCGCGGTTAAATGGCGCCGAGCGCGTTGCCCCGAAAAGCGCGTCTCGAGCGCGCGCGGTGGCGGCGGTGGCGGTGGCGGCGGCAGCGGCGACGACGACGACGACGGCGGTATCGTCGGCGTTGTCGGCGAACACGCGCTCCGCTGCCGTGCTCTTGCGATCATTACTTCGATAAATGGCGACGTCTCGCGCGCGTTCTCTCTCTCTCTCACCGAGACGAGAACGCGCGCGAGACCACGCTGGTTGCGTCATTTTTCCCCGTGCGCGGATCGCGAAACGCCAGACGCTGCCGCCGCCGTCGGCGCCAGATAATATATAACGCACACGTTCTCATATCGTGTACTCACTCTGTGTCCGGATTCCTCGAGCCGCTGTCTCTTGGAGTGTGGACCGTCTCCATTGAACGCCATCCTGGACGATGCACCCAGCGATGCGTCAAAATCCAGTACTTCTTTCCAGAAGCTACACGGCGCTGCTGCGACGACCACGGCGGCGGCGGCGGCGGCGACGTTGACGACGACGTTGACGACGACGACAACGACGACGACGACAACGGCGGCGGCGGCGACGGCGGCGGCGACGACGACGACGACACGAGCGTGTTGTATGTACCGCGCGATTCCTCTCTACACCGTGCCGACGATCGCGTACACGCGGACGAGGGGAGGGGGGAGGAGGAGAAAAATAATCGGTAGGTAGGACGCACGACGCGACGAGAACAGACAAACACGCGAGAGCGGTTTAAGGGAAACTGGATCTCGCCGGACAAGACGAGCGACGTCAACGCTTCCTGCGGGCTGGCGACCGGCTACCGTGACGCGCTCTACCGGTGGCGCCGCGACAATGCCGCGGGATGCCTCTCAAGCTAGGCTCGCCGCCGGGAGGCGCTCGGGCTTACGCGGCCGATGCCGCGCGCGCGCGCTGATTGGCCCACGCCGTTTTGTCCGGTTCGCACTATTGGTCAACGCAATTTCGCCCGTGACGTTTTCGGGGCGTTCACGTGCAAATTGCAACAATATCTCAGACAACATAAACTTGTAAAAAGGACCGTCAATATATAATGGAAGTAAAGTGTGGCTTGGTCTACAATATGCGAAATAAGCCGTAAAAAATGGCTACTCATAGTCGATTATTACAAGAATAATCAGCTATGATTGGCTAATTCTTATGGCTTATTGCTTAGTCCCGATCCACAATAGGTATAGTAAGCTTTAAGAAATTGACCAATCACAGTAAAATATGAGGAGAATAATCATGTGATTGGTCAATTTCTTAAGGCTTAAAGCTTACTACATCTATTGTGGCTCGAGACTTACTCCGTATATTGTAAACCAAGCTAAACTCGCCCCTTGTCCATAACCTTGCTTTAATCTTTAAGCCGTAATAAATTCATAGTCGATTATTTTTAAAATAATTGGTTAATTTTTTACGACTTAAGAATTAAAGTAAGGCTGTGGATAAGGGAAAAGATATCTTTTAATCCCGGTTTACAACAGATGATTTAAACCCGAAATCTTAAAAAGTTGACCAATCATAATAGAATATGAGGAAAATAATCGACTGTAATTGGTCAATTTTTTAAAGCTTAAGGCTTAAATCATCGGTGGTTGTAGAATTAGAAGATGTCTTTTAGTGTATATTAGAAGTTCGTGTTGTCTGAAACTCCACGGTCCTTATTTTAAATTCTTTTTTATCGATTGAAGTGTCTTTAAATGTGGCTCGTAAATCCTCTGATTGGCTTGTAAAGACATTTAGGGCCTGTTGTTCCAACTTTTTGGTAAGTTAAATCGTATGTCTGTCTTTATTTTTCCTTCAATTTAGATAAAAATAGATGCAAATGTTGTACTATTATTGAGACTACTAAATGCAGCCAATAAAAGAAAATTCAAAATAAGGGCCTATTTCTACGTGTACGAGATATCTCATCTATGTAGAGAGTAATCTATGGATGTTTAAAGAACGCATGATTTGCTTGCAGATTAAAAAAAATTTATATTTTTATCTTCAGAATTCTGATGGAAATTTATGAACATTGTTTCTCAAACGAATTAGAGAAAGTCCACGTAATTCTCTAGTTACATTCTTACCCACAGAGAGTTAAATTTACCAATTTGTCACATAATAAAATGAAAATTTTATGCACAAATTATCTTTTTCAAATATTACATTTATAATTAATAACTAAAACAGATACGACCTTATAATATAATTAATTTTTTAAAATATTTTAATAAAATATTTAATATATTTATATTATTATATTTTAATATTTATTATATAAATATTATATATAATATTTTAATAAAATGTAATATTTAATATAATATTTTACAATATTTTAATAAGTATAAATATATTTAATATTTAATGTGTAATATTTTATTGTAATATTTATATTGTCTGCATGTGAAAGTTGCTTTTCTTATCGACCAAAAGTATCGCAAGCGTAGTGCAGACTGTTGTTTTGCAAGTTCACTTTATTTTTCTCCCCTCTCCCACCTCGATAGTTACGCCTGATTCTTCTTTAAAAAATATACAAAGATACAGATACAATCACGAGAATGATTGTTCGCTATTTCTTGCAGAAAATAATAAAAATTTTCTTCAAAAAGTTGAGATTTAATTTAAAAAATTGTCTGATTTGTTTCAAAACTTTTTTATGGTAAAAAATATAAAAATACAGATACAATCAAGAAGACAGCTGCTCACTATTCTTTATTGAAAACAATAAAAAATTTCGAGGAGATAATCTGGCGTCAAAGATAGGCTTTAGTATAGGAGGTAGATTATTTTCAGAAAGAAACAGAAATCTGTCCAGCAATACCACAGTCTCCACTAATGGTGCCAGCATCGTACGTAATGCTCCAAATATCACGATCTGTCGCCACTGGCTGAGAAAACACTTTATTCGCGAGTCCTGAAAGTCCAAATCGTCAGGTCGCAGATGCGACTCGAGATCCGCAGTCGCGGCTGTACAATATCTAAAAAGAAAAACACGTTCGATTATTATTTCTCAATAATATATGTTGCAAAAGTTCAATGGCTATACAATAAAGATATCGGAATCACTCAACTGTTGAAAGGTTATAGGTTTCACCACTTTGACGTTTCTCATTTGAGTATGACATAGTTGCCTACTTCGTCTCATTAAAATAGTCTCTAGAGCAGCTCTGTAGACGTGTACCTAAAACAACATACAATTTGTTAACAATGAGTCATGGACTCTCGCTCAAGTTAAGCATACGACACCTAACTATTAAATCTTCATAGTTTCCAGTCTTCAGCTTATCACAGTAGCTCTCGATAGCGTGGCACGCCACTTCTAATGCTGTGTAGGACAACTTGTGATTTGCGAATGACGACAGGTATTTACTGAGTGGATATCCATTTGAGACATCCGTCGTATCTCTAAATGCAGTACATTATTTAGCGTAACTATAATATTATGAGAAAGTAACGTGAATGTAGCGTTTCACGGACATACTCTAATGTTAGCTTCATGTAGCAGCATCCCACAATGCATATAAATTTCGCCTCACGTCGAGAGGTGTAAAGCCTCAGTAATGTGGCTGCGAGATCTCCACACGGATGCAACCCGACAATGCCAAAGCCAGTCTTCGTCTTGCTCCGATGAAAACTCTCCGAAAATATTCGTTGTATGTTCTCAACTGTCTCAGCTTGCTCGAAATCTGTCTTTTCCAATTTAACTGATACGTGTCGCGGAAGTTTAACCGGCAGGTTGGGCAAATGTTTAGATATAGATACCAATAACTCCTGGTCCAATTTTCTGTTAAAGAAACAACTGAGCTGATTATAATGTAAAGGAATAATAATTATTATAAGCTCTGCTTAAAATGATGAATGCAAAACGATAAGATTATATTACGCGTTTAGCATGAATTTCAATGTAAATCAATCATCATCTTACCTAAATCAACCAATGATAATATTACATCAATATTATAATTTCCTATTCAATAATATAATTATTATATACAACATATATTGCACACTGTTGAATTATAACATTGATGTAAGATTGTTAGTGATGGTTTTTACTGAGTATTGATTCACATGGAGAGATTAAATGGAAATTCAGATTAAATCTTATGCAATATTGTTGTTTTGTATTTATCATTTTGAACAAGGCTATTGCCAGTAATTTACGAACCCAGGTAGTACAGAACATCCTGAGATTATTTTGGATCTATTTAGGACGTTGATCTTAAAGTGCTGCCCAGGACATCCTGGACACATTCAGAATGATTCTAGGACGTTTTGTGCTGACCAGGAAGATTTCTACCTAGTAAACACCAATTAAAAGTAATATTACATCAATGTTATATAATTTTATATTCATCAATGTAACTGCAGTATAACATATCTTGCATGCTTATATTGCTGAGTGGGATGTAATGTTATAATATTCTACTTAATTGTTACATACACCATATCCTAGACAGTACAAACTTCTCAAAGACATCTTAAAGATGTGTAAAGGATGTCTGAATAAAATAGAACATATTTGGGACATTTTTTAGAAGTTTATGTTGTCTAAGATGTTACACTGTAACAATGGATGATTTAAGCCCTAAATTTTAAGAAATAAATTTTATTTATTTTTTTAATTTATTTCAACTAAAGAAAAAGATTTATATCTTATTATATAATATAATGAATAATTCTGTCTATGGATGAAAGTAAATTAGATGAAATGAAAGTAAATCAAGCGATAAGTACTTGTACACACATTACAACATTGATGTAGTGTTGCTATTAGTTAGTGTTTATATTAGGTAAGAACAACTGCAAAAGTGATGAAGATAACGTTGAGTTACCTGGCCTGCTGTGACAGTGATTCGTTTTGCTCTATGCACGTCACGCATAAGTCATATTTGAATGCTAACGACCGGGCCAAATGACCCATGCCTGCTCCAACGTCCACGATGCACTTTGCGTCCGACTCGCGCGCACAATCCGCGCAGATCTGTGCGAAAATTAATTTCTTATTCGTAAATATTTCATATGTGATTTAAAACACATTACTTACAAATTTTGACCAACTATACCTTCGCTATCTCTTGTATCTCATGTCGTTTCTTGATCTTGACATGTTTCAGAAAGAGATTGCTGTGTTTCTTCAAAAAATCGTGTATATTCTGCGGCCTTTCATCTTTACCTTCCGATATGAAATTATCTAAATTGTATGCGACATTTTTCGCTCTGCCACATCGCAAGGTACTCTCGTGGTTTCGGTGATCCCTGTTGATTTGCAAATTCTTCGTAACTTGTCGAAGCGCGAGCAACGACAGCGGCCATACGCGTGTGCTGAAAAATGAATTAGCAAAATTTATAGAATACTCCAAAATCACGCGGTTAAAAAACTGTACATTTCAAAATAACACTTAGATTTGCAGTGTTTCAGGCGACTTTTAGGTAATGCGCTGAAATACAGCTTTAAAAAAAAGCGATTTAGATTATGACAATAAATTCTTTGAAAGAGGAGGCACCTAAATGTCTTTTTAAATATGCGCGCGTTATCGACCAAAGTGAAATTTCACCAACGCTTACCATGAGATGTCACTACTCAACCACTTCCCAAACTCCTCGGGCGACACTACTTGCAGAATGAGCGTCCAGCTGTTCGGTAATTTTTCCCACAGTTGCTCCTGGAAGAAATCCTGGAATGCGAATAAACATGCTGAATGAATTCGCAAGAAAAAACTGTTTTTAGAAGCATATAATGCGATAATATCATCTTGTATTTATGATGGCACGTATGATATGAAGGTTCGAAAGGGAGACAACAAGATCGGATTCGAAAGGTGGAAATATGATACGTTACAGAAATTACTGTTATCATATTACGTACCACCACGTATGAGTCTAACAACCAACCGTATATGTCTAACACACTGAAGATCCGCTGGATTGTTACGCGAGCTTTCGAGCAGGCCTCACAGATACACGTCTCCACGAGCGCGGCCATTTTTGTGACAACACGGTCGGTAACGCTGCAGTGCGTGGATCATTGGTACCTTATTATTTATATTTTTAAACTTTTAAATTTATCGTGATTTCCTTCTGTGCCTTTATTGTTTCTTATAGGATGCGAAATCGTATTTGTCGATTTTTATATAAATATACTCAGGAATTTTATATATATATATATATATATATATATATATATATATATATATATATATAT